TTTGGCATCGTTGGATAGAGAATTGAAAAGTTGATTCAGTCGTAACAACGTGAGTTACGGCCCTTGGGGACCCCTGTTTGCAGCCGAATTTCTCGAAAGAGGATCATCCCTAAATTCTATCGAAGCTCTAAAGTACCCTTCGTCCTGCTCTTAGTGTAGTGACAATATTGGGATTATCATTCAAATATTTCCATATTTAAGTTCATAACAATCGGTTAGAATTAAGGACAAAATGCGTSAATAATGGAATTGAATGAATCCCTGAAAGCTGGATCCGCCCTTGGACAAAATGTTCCTATGGATGRATGTAGGCATAGGTAAAWTTGAAAGAACAATTAAGAGCAAAATGAACCGTTGATGTCAATTAGTCGTTGATTGCCAGATTTAATAAGGAAATAATGGTACCTACATAAACGGCACGCAACATCTAATTAAAATTTAAGCGAAAGATCCGACTTACTAAACAAGAGATTACCACTAGTTCCGCTTCAATTTTCTTTCTCCGTGATAAACTTCTCTAATGAAACTTTTAATTATGACTTCCCGTTCCGGCATAAATAAGTGGCAAAATTAATTAATTTATGTCTGAGCTGGGGGGCCACCAGGCGGTGGTCCCCTTGCCACCTTGTGGAGCGTCTAATTAAGTTACAAGTTCTAATTTTCAAATGAGATTTTGTTTTGCGTACAACAGTGGCGTCTGAAMTCGGCAAATGARCATACTTATGTATAAGTAAAAAGCRGYAAAAACTGGAGTACGAWCAWWCTTCAATTCTATYATTGACGGATTTTGCCCTTAATTCTAACCYATKRTTATGGACWGTTYTAAWTATGGAAATATTCATGATWKAWGYAARAAGGGCGCTTWAGAGCAAACAGAAATGATTCCATTGAATTTAGGGTTGATCCTCTTTCGARAAATTTARCTGCAGTTTAATCATAATTTAYTTATTATGTACATTCAAAGAAAGACACTTGAACAAAACCACAATTTAAAAAAAGRGCYTCTGTRRGCMAAAAAWTACTTATATTCYTCCGAAACTTCGGGTACTMTGCCTTAAATGCASTGGAACATTTTTGACTGAGACTATTTCGCTTGGAAAATCGTCTATTCGGACTGGAATSGTTTKGAAAATGAGTTGATYGAGGTAAAAATTMAAAGCRTGTTRRTCGAGAAATTGTCTTTTCSASCTTWAAATCGTCAAAACTTGCAGGGTTTTCAACCGATTGCAATTTGCCGAGAAGCAGACTAATATAAATTGATAATTTAACAAAAAATAATAATTTGACAAAACAGCGATCGTAAATCAAAAGCGGTTCTAACGAAAAGCCAAAATTCCGAAACGAAAAACCGTAACTTTTGTGTCGATTGTGGATCGGCCCAGCCAATTAAATCCTAACAAAGAGTTGAACACGGTGTAATTGGATCCGAAACGCAATAATAAATGTGCAAATCATTAACTCCTTACAACAGTGGTTTCTAGTATTGAATAAAAGTCGGGAATCGTGGGGGGCTTGAGCCGCCTTAATTCGGATTTGCTTTCAAAGGAGGTGCCGATCGAATCAGACCATAATTAATAAAAGTGAAGAAGGGCATCTCGGTCTCGGTTGGACGTCCCAGTCCATGTTTTCCGTGTCATTCTGTTTTCGTGTAGACGATCCAGCTCAATTATGGATGCTGAAGAACAGAACTCGCTAGTAACAGTTGGCTCAATAGGTTCTAAAGATTGGGACCACATTTATTTTGGACAAGTTAATAAATTTTCAAAAAATCGACCTCCCTTAGAAAAATTTCGACCAAAAATCAAAATTTCATTTCTTCCACAAGGAATATTTTCCGCAAAAAGTCGGTACTTTTCCCCGTTCGAAGAAATCAAAACAACCTTCGTTGCCTAGAAACCGTCCCGGGTGACGTGTTTTCCGGAAACACGTAAACCTGATCGACCAATCGCTTGTCGACTCGTTGAATACAAGACGGGTACCATGGCAACGCGTGAATATAAACACATCAACTTTGAAATCAGTTGTCAGTAAAGCAGTATTTACTGCAATTGAAGTTTTAAATGAGCCGGTTTTTACACGTTCGTTTTGGAAAAAGTCTTGTTTGTTGGAATTGCCTCTCGAAGGATTGAAGGACCCGAAAATGTGACTTTAAACTAGAAAATTACCGATTGTAAAGGAAAAGTTGATGATTTTTGCGACTTAAATCGTTGGCGGGACCTTAAGGATGGGAAGTTTTCAAATTGAGACCCGGTAYATTGGAAAACACGAGCATTCTACAGGGTGACCAAGGTAAGAGTGCATTACATCGGAAACTTCTAGCATGTTTTTTAATCAGTTCGATGCAATCTTCGCGTTCGTGGAATCAAAATTTGCAAAGTTACACTAATTAATTGCATGAAACATCAGTCGGCGAAGCAGGTCTTGTCAGTCCTTGCATACATAAAGGAACAAAAGTCTTTCGGACATAATTTATACCCAGCAGTTTCGAAACCAATCACTGATTTTTGCGAGACAAATAGGCTTGACAAGAAGAGAACATGTTGCCACCTCATTCATTCCTTTCATTAAAACAGCGCAACCGGCGTGTGTCTCTCTTCAGTAAAACCAAAGAAAAAACTTTGAACGCGCCGCACCTCTTCAAAGCACCGCTAGCGAACTTTTTGCCCAGACAAATTTGCCTCAAACGGAATGTTTTTGTCCAAGCAATCAGTCAGTGAATTTCCGCACATTAGTTGAGGACCACCCTGTATATGTAGTTGTGGCATTTGTGCAAGCAACTGTGTTATAATGGCACAAGAAGCAACATCAGTCTCCAAACTTGGGCAACTAATCACGCCCCAGTTGTCCCGTGACTATAAGTAGGGACATTTTGACCATGTTCACGGGACATTTACCATAATGCGTTCATGTGCTATTCGACCAACCGAAAAGAAAGAAAAGTCTTTACTACTTACAACTCAATTAATCAAATTTATTTTCGAATAAAACAGGGACATTTCACCATTTTCAACTAGATAGCTAGATCATGGTCCGAAGGTAAAAACTGAAAAAATGTAGACACCAAATTGATCAAGACAAAACAAAAACGAACATTAGGTACTCCGATCTGGCACTTTTGCCACCGTTTAGAAGCACACTCCTTTAACAACGATTTTTGAAAAAGGCCCGTGGTGATCGAGCTAAAAGTCCAGCACCATGAGGTCCGATTGTCAACACGAGGGCGCTCAAATTTGTGATTTTAAACAAAACGGAGCCCAAGCAGCCGGCCCCGACTGCTTGGGGGGGCCTTGAATAAAAAGCGTGCCCTCTTAGGAGGGCACAGGCCTAAAAAGGCCCACATGCCAGCCCCTTGTGTGCGGTACAGGGTGCGAGTTGCATATGTGCTGTTTTGCACAGATAATTGGTGGTTGAAGGCTTTATTTGCGTTTAGTGACGGCTAAATGGTTTGTCAAAAGCTCGGTGTGTGGTAAACGGATCGGAACGAGTCACGTCACTGATTTTTAATAATAGTTTTAGTTATGATTCCTATACGAAATCACTGATTATAGGTTATAGAAGACACTACTATTTCGGTCAGGTACAAGGACGGATCCAGGGGGGGGGGAATTATGATACCCCCCCCCCATTCAATTCTCTATCCAAGTATGCCAAAACGAATTCTGTGGCTCGAATGGTGTGGCTCTTGAGAAACTTCGAAAAAAGCAGGGTCATGTTCAAGTGGATTTTGCAAATCAAAAAAAAACCACGCAAACCTAAAACTTCTTGAATTCAAGCCTTTTTTTGAGAAAACTGCCAACATTTCCCCATCCATGGTTCACTTTCTAAAAAGGCCATTTATTTCTGTCTAGAATGATGTACAAATGAGCGTTCTTGCTCATTTTGCCTCCGAGAAATGCTATAGAAAAAGTCCAATTTTTTTATTTTTCTATTTTCAACTATCGCTTCATTGGTTAAGCTTAAGGTCAAGCGTTGAAGGTGCTTTACTTCGATCGATTGATTTTCCCGATTTGAACAATTTTGAACAGAGAAATTTTTTTTTAATTGTACATTAGTTTCTGAATCACTATTAAGTTTAAGAATTATCAAGGTTTCTTATGTTTACATAGCATTTAATTAACTAATTTTGATCAGAACTCCAATGTAAAAATAAACTTGGAATTGTCTGCATATGTTTGCAATGTTGCAATTTTCGCCTCAGAGTGAATGGAAACAAAGCCATAAATTTGAATTAATAATTTTTTAAGTCTTTATCTATGGAACCGATCCTGATTCGCTACCTTGAATAGCTAATAATTTTTCCTTATCTCTGCTTTCTATGTTAGTTGCCCCATCTTCGGGTATAATCACCAAACAAACTAATAGTAGTTTTAGCGATCTTCAATGTTCAGTTTCACCAATAAACTTTACAGAACAAACTTCACATTGCTGATCAATTTAGCAGTGCTCTGCGTGCAGTAAACTAAAACTTAATTCTTGCTTAGCGCTAGATGTCGCAACAGTCTCACAAATAGCTGCACAAATCACAAAGGTTAACAAACGCCCGCATCTGTGAATAAATGAAACAGACGAGGTTTGAATTGTTGTTCTTGATTGAAATGTAGGGATCTGCCGATTCCGTTTCACATTTGGTAATCTAGATCTTCCCCTTTTGACATTACGCGTCATCGTACGTATGGAAAACGCATTTTCCCCACAAATTTTACTAAGGAAAGTGCTGCAAAAGCCATAAAATTGTATTCTGAAGGTTCAGAAACCAGACAAATAATAATTTTCCTTGTGAGAAACGATTTCTGGCCATAAGGTCTACGTCTCTGGTGGCTTCCGATCTTTTTGGACGACAAAAAATGTCCAAATTACACTCTCTTCCCCGACATTTTTACGATGGTACCATGATACGAAAGTGTTTCTATTGGTTGGAGATCTGTCAATTCGTCCCCCGTTCGTACGACGGAGAGACGAATTGAATTGAATCGGGGAACGGAGTGTAATTTGGACATTTTTGTTTGAGCTCTCTGAGCAATATAATAAACTTTTTAATGCAGCACTCTTTCCCAGTATAATTCAGGTTGCTTGTTTTATAAAAAAATTTAATCAAACGAAAAAGCTAAATTTTATCTGAACATACTGTAAAAGTACGCCCAACTCATGCATTTAAATTGAATCAATCAAGTTAGAAACAGATGCTCTTTGTGCAGATACAAATTCGAGTTTTTCCGCTCACAATTCAAAAGGAGCGTTACGCACTGACCTAATTTATAAAGCTATTTTGATAATTAAAACCCATG